CTCAACAGTTGCCTATTCACTGTGTCCAAAATATCCAGGGGGGATGTTTTTTGAATTTCTTCCAGCTTAACGGAGAAAGGAGACGATTCTTGGTCCCAGAAATGCACTAAATGACAACTTCACCAGGACCCCCCATCATGTGGTTACAGACTAAACTAAATTTAAATTCACTGGTCTCTTTAACAAAAATTAATCAGACTGCTAAGTCTCATCTTAAATGCTGCTGCAAGAGTCCTGACACCAGGAAAAGTGTCACTACAAAGGCTCCCTGTTTCTGAAGGCATGACATTTAAAACATGCATATGCTGCTCAGTGGTGTGGTTTGTACCACTATTGCCTTGCAGCAAGAAGATCCTAGGTCCAATTCGTGCATGGAGTTTGCATGTTCGCCCTATGCATGCATGAGTTGTCTCCAGGCTTCCTCCCAAAGTCCAAAAAAATGACTGTTAGGTTAAATGAATGAAATGAATGAATGAAGGTATGAATTCAAAACCTGTCCATTCTTTTCTCCCAGGACCAGAGCTAAATGAGTTGAGACACCATTTTGTTTGTATGCTCCTCGGCTCTGTATCAAACCTCCTAAAAAACCTGAGATGTGTAGAAATTAATGGTTCTTTTGAATCAGGGCTATAAACATTACTGCAAAAAAGTCAACTCTTTATCATGACAATGTTTAGATGTTTTGTTTTAAATTTGCAGGTTGTTTTTTTGTTAGTGGTGCTGAAGGAATTATAGACTGCTGTTTATCTAAGATATATTTATTCTGAATTATTTTATCTCTGGTTTCTTTTTTCCTTGAAAGCAATATGAATTACTGTCTATATAGTGATGACATAAACATTAACGCCTCTGACCTTCTGGTCTGTGCTTGTTTGATGTGAGGAATGAAGGACTTGCCTAAGGTGCCGTTATTGTTAGAGCTCCAACTGTTTAGGTGGACAGGGTCAGACTGCCAATAGAGGGTTAATGCCTCTATCATTTTCCAACTATATACATTTAAAAGTGAAATATATGTGCTTTGCACTATAAAGCTTTTGTGGAGTTAAAAAGGGATTTAATAAGGTGCCCCATCCATTGCAGTAGAAAAAAATGAGCTTCTAAACAAATCCTTTAAAGGTAAATAAATGTGTCCATTTCAAGTCCCATTTATACTACTCATAAAAGCTGTAACAGAAAGTAACACCTTACTGAAAATATTTTTAAAGTTTGACTTTATAAAAATATTAAGCCATAAGATGCCAATTTTCCCTGAACAACAGAATAGACAAAAATATAATGCAATGTGAATGTGGCTTGCTACCTTTTATCACTATCATGTTAACATATCAACAATCAGAAAATGCATTGTAGTTGTCTACTTGTCAAACATAACAAAAAAAAGAAAAGATGAGCTGAAAACAGCAGCAGGTGTTCTCTGAATAAGACAACAATCACTGAATATAATGAAAACAACAGCGATAGATTCCCTTTGTAAAACGCAAAAGAAGCATTGTTTGGACTGAGAAACAACTGGAAGGGATAAGAAAACACAAATATCAGTAATATTCTGACAAGGCTAAATGGTGGGACTCAACAATATACTCACCCAAGTCTGAATGATGGTGTTAAGGCCTACATTACAAACCTGAAATCAGTAAAAGCATATGCACAAATTGGGCTTTATAACATTTATCGTTTGTATTATTCAAATAAAACCATCAATTAATAGAGTTTGCAAAGGAATGAATGGATTTAATTGATCACAGGAAGAATAGAAAAAAATATACCACACTGTTCTCAGCAGCACAAAACATCATTCAGCTACCATAATCTGATAAATCTACTGGTGCCACAGGAGGCAGAAGATTGATTGATTGATTGATTGATTGATTGATTGATTGATTGATTGATTGATTGATTGATTGATTGATTGACTTTATTGATCTCACAGTGGAGAAATTAACCTGTTACATCAGCTCAAACAGTTGAAGAAGAATGTGCCTAAGGCAGAAAAAGGTACATGGGATATATGTAGTGCGTCCACATATGACAGCTTATGATGGAGCAGGGAGAATGTTGAGCAGCAACAGTTTCTGGTAAACCTATGTTCTGAGTATAAAAAAAGTCTCTGTTTGGATGAAAGATTAAGGTTTAAAACAGACAAAATTTCTTCTGAATATTCTGTTTTGGTCTGCGGACAGAGAAAGGCTTGGTATATTTAGCATTAAAAAGGCCTGATCTTTACTGAAGGAACAGTATGTAACAAGGTGGTAGCATAATCATGGTATGGGGTTGCATCAATGTGGGGTCTCTATCAGTGTCGATGATATTATGAACAATTCATATTACCTGCCAGTTCTACAGATTTGTGCTGGAAAGCCAAAAATAAGAGGAACATCACTCTCAGTTTGCCCACCCTAACCAACAACAGCAGAGCTTCACCTGAATAAAAAAACAGAACATTATTTAGTACTGAACTTGGGTCTAGATCTTACAGAGAATCTACAACAGTTGGATAACTTCTGTAAAGCAAGGTAGTCAAATGTTGCCAGGTGAAGCATCAGAGACCTGTCAAAGGTGACTGACTGATCAAAAGTATGAGTACAATGATGTACACACTCATGTAAAGTTGTATAAAACATTTCCTCCATTGAAACATTTGCCCCATTTACATTTGCCCCTCTGAGACTGATCAGTGGTGAGTTTGGCTAAATAAACTGACAAACAACCACACACTCACACCTAAGGGGAATTTAAAGTTGACAATCAACAAAACAGTCATTCCTATGTAAAAGGGTACCCGGACAGAATCCACACATACAATGATATATTTAACTTTAAACACACAATAAGTTAGTTATCTAAGGTGTGTCAAGTGATTCCCCAACAAAGACCACTGGAGATAAGCATCCCTCATCCCCAAAGACTCTGACGGACAAGCAGGTGTGAAAAATTTATATTTATTTTTTTTATTTTTGTTTTCTCTGTTTTTTCTTGTTATCTTAGCATCTGGACATTTAACAGGGGTTTGTGAAGCTTTGAGTACCACTAATATCTAAATCCAGCTATGCTTCCGGAGATGCATTTCAATAATATCATCATCTCACCTGTTGTCATTTTTGTTATTTATACAAAGCCAGTATTGAATGAGAGACATATTTTTTTTTGTTATATCCTGTTGACCTTCAAACTCTATTATTCTGCCAGTTTTAACTCTGAGTCCTTGTGATGTTAGATTAAATACGAAAACAGCTCGGATTATTGCTTAACTCTTGCTCCAACTCTTGCTCTAGCCTGGTTCTACTGTATGCTGCAATATTCCAAGTCATATGCTCACACATAGGCAGTTTCCTGTGGTGGGTATACGAGTGTGAAAAGGTAACAGCAGCAATATCAGGACTGGATTGCCCTACAGTTTGGGGAGAAATGCCCCATTACAGCATTTTCAACAGGAGCCTGCTTTCATTTCTGTAATAGACACATGGTACACTTGTTTATGAGAGGGAAATGGTTCTGGATGTGAAAACCTGGAGAACATAAAGGTGAAGATTGAGAGACATCAGTGTTTTATATTGGGCTGTTTAGACTTTTTTATATGCTCCTAATGTGCTGACAGTAGTGTGGAATTTAAAGTTGATGTGATCAACTAAGCATAAAAGGAACAATGTGTGACCCAGCAGATGTTCTTTGAAGCTGCTTGCTGACTCAGGTTTAAATCCAAACTTTGCCCAAGCCCTTTGCCCTTGGTCCTCTAAACACAACAACCTTTAGTTACAAAATGCCACTCACCAAACTTTGTCAGCCTGTTCACTGACCTAAGGCACCCCAAAAACAGGAAGTTCATGAGTTGGGTTAATGTCTTGTAAATGAATATAAACTGGCCTTACTAGGTTAATGTTTCAAAACAAGACCCTTATTCCATTTTAAACACCTCCACAGCAACTTTGCTAGCTCAATGTAGCCAAAAAAAGACACAAGAAAGTTGATCCTTTGTGGAAGAATTTGCTGAGCGTCTATCTATCGATCCATCTATCTGAATGTAAGAATGTTGGCTCATCCATATACTTGATGAGAAGAGACATCATTTGTATGGTCTGTTGACATCCAACAAGATGAAAAAGAACTCTATTAGATGTTTAAACATCACAGATCACATCATGATCTGCAACCTTCTCCTTCAGTAGAGCTCAAGTTTTCTTATAGACTGAGGTCAACATCTGTTAAAGGACTTTAAGTAGAATTAATCCCTCTTTCCTGATTACAGCTCCATTTATTCAGCCTTCCGATATATTTCTTTTACGATTCAGCATGTGACAAAGAATGCATAATTGTAACCCTTTTTTCCTGGTTTAAAAACTAAAACTCTGTGGAAGTAATATGACCTCAAACTCTGCTGTAAGTAGTGTTTGACTGATGCAAAGATCAACGTCTATGAACAGTTCATCTTCTGAACTGTATGGGCTTACGTCACAGTTCAGTTTACCATGGTTTACTTCAGATTAGATTGATAAATAGTCAATCCAAGCATTTTACTAGAGTACCACTTAAGCCAGCCTGAGTGCTACCATCTGTATCATTGTTTGAGAAACATGGCTCTAAAGTGTTTTGAATACAGGATAGATCTTCATGCTGAGCTAATCATTTTAGATTACATATTACAGACATAATTTATTTCCTTTTCTATCTTTCTGTTTAATGCTGTAACTTCCCATGTAAAAGGCAACATCAAGAGATCAGGCTCTAATCAGGAGGGGATCTCAAGCTGTTAATTATGACACGATAACATCTCCTTTCAAACCTCCGCCATCCTCTGAGAAAGCAGCAAATTCACCGCTGACATAATCACACACTAGTTTACTGTGAATCCAGCGGTACTTTGGCCTCCATCATGTCGACAGGCTGAGGAATCCTGGGAAAATTGGTTTCAAAGGTCAGACTAGACTCACGTGTTACATCAACTATTTGCACAGCATTTCATTTATCTTATGTGGCTTTTGCTGCCTGTTATGACATGTTGCAGCCTCTGCTGTGTGAAGGACATCGCCACTGTCAGCAGTACAGGACAGGCTGCATTCAGATCACACCAAGCCTGTAGAGCTGGCTGCTGGACTAACATGATGGCTTCTAAGTGAATGAACCCAGGAGGTAAAGTAACGACATGGCTTGTATGCATGTTTGGAAATCAGTTACTAAGATCCGATTTTAGTATGTTTGTTAACGTACAGTAGAAATGCTTAGTTATTGGACATTATTCTGTGCACACAACAAGGTTTTATTTGTTGATCAGTAGTATGTTCTTTTTGTGTGCACAGAAGCACACTGACATAAATCTGATTATTTAACTCTCCGTTTGATGTCTGTTTTTTAAATTGGCAAATGAGAAACTTCATCATATTCATTTTCTTACCCTTAATAAAATGAAAATCTCTTTACATTTCTAAAGGGCCTCTTTCTTACTGTAAAGCCTGTTGAGCCATTAAGCTTAAATAAAGACATTTTTGGCTTTACAATGATCTTTCACACTGTGGCAGCCATGCTGCATTTCTGATACCAGTGATTTGACCATGGCTGTAAATAGGTTGTTAATAGTAGAGCGTACAGTAAGCAGAGTTGACAAAGTTTCATGCTTTACAACTGATACACCCATGCACATGAAAAAAAATATCTTCACATATTAAGATAAGGGTGGTTTACAGTAGTTTAATGATTCAATTTTATTGAAATAGCACTAACTCACAGCACTTCATCTTGTGACACTTCACAGAGTTAAATCAATCAACTCATTAGACAAATTCATTATAAAGTTTTCGTTCTTAGGACAACCAGTAGATTGCTCTGAAACGTTGACATAATCACTCCTCCTGGGTGAGCATGCGGTGCCAGTAGACAGTACCTTGCATTGTGTCATTGAGTTTGCAGTAAGCCCTTTTATCAAGCATTAATTTATTGACAAAGGAGAAGAGATTTCCCCTTTAACAGAAAAAAACCTCCAGCAGAATCAGAACAAGGCTCAGTTAGAACAACATTCTACTACAACCAAAAATATGTGTTTGAACAAACAGAGCGGAGACATAAAAGGAACGTGGAAGCAATGATCCGGGAATACTTTCTATTTGAAAAAAAAAAAAAAAAACATTTGCTCCACTAGTAGCAATTAAAATCAAATATTAAAGAGAGCAAATACACCCTGACGATGTGTTCAGTTTAGATCTCAACCTTTGTGAAAAGGCTGGATTCCTGGAATCTTCTACAAATTATATAGAATCCACCTGAGCTATGGATCTCTACAGCTCCTCCAGAGTTACCATGATTCTCTTTGCTACTTCTCTGATTAATGCTCCCATTCAACTTTTCAGTCTAGATGGACATCCACTCTTGGTAGGATTACAGGTTCTCTGACCCCCCTCTATGTAAAGATGATGGATTAAGCAGAGCTTTGGGAGATTTTCAAACCTTGGAGTTTTGTTTTAACACCTGACCCTTCTTTAAACTTTCTCCCTGATTACCTCTTGCTGTCCTTTTCTTTGCGATTCTGGTTACTGTCATTATTTTCTTTTATTTTGTGTGGTACAATGTAAAAAGTCACAAACTGTGTATATTTAAATTTATACAATGTCTACAGTTTCAATGTTACAAAGTTTTCAAAGTGCTCCCTCGGTAAATGAGTTTTTAATCGGGCCACTGGGGAAGTTTTTAGTTTAAACATGAAGATATTTCTGAAACAAACAGCTCTTTGTTGCACCCTAAACATACCATCAACCGCACCTTTTTATGCCAGTATCAGGGAAACCCATTCAGATAGCTCACACAGTTTGGGGAGAATTTGTCCTCATGTCTGCAGGAGTTTTTCTGTTTGTTTGTTTTTTCAAATAGCCAGAAAACACTAGAATCTATTTCAAAATATGGAAAAATCTTTAATCGTTTAGTTGATCTTGTGTACAATGTTTATACAAAATGGAACTCTAAATGAAAGGTTTTTAATACATTTCTAGTACCGGTATATTCCACTTGTATGTAAAAAAAAAAACAAGTATCTTTATGAAAAAAAAAGAAGTGAAATTTAACTTATGGTCATAAGTCCTCACACTCCATGTTGCATTTATAAATAACACCCTTGGTAAGTTTCCACGCTGAACCCATTAGACCTAGTTGGCATAGTCTGGTATTCTGCAGCCTGCCTTGTTGGATAAGGTGTCCTCTTTCTTTTGGCTAGTGAGTGTGGTTGTCAGATATCCCTGCTAATGGCCTTTCTCACTCTCTGTTTGTGAGCTAGGAAGAGCTAACCCTCAAAGTTTGCAAGGAACTATCCTCTAAACACACATGGCAACCTTCAAAACAAATAGAATGGGGCCAGGAGTATGGCAGGAGAAGGATTGTGTCTGACTAGATTAAGATTTATTGACTGTTGCACAAAATATTTTTTAAATTTCTCTTTTCTATCTTTCTTTATTTGTCAAAGTATAGTGGAAACTATTGCTGGTCAACATGGACCCTCCAGAGAAGCCCCAGAAGACGCAGGAATCCATAGAGCTGCCTGTTGCCCCAGATGGAGGCTACTCCTGGTTTATCCTGGTCTCCTGCTTCTTCGTGTTCGGCCTGACCTTTGGTGTGGTTAAGTCCTTCGGTGTGTTTTATGTTGAGATCCATCAGTACTTTGAAACCACAGCAGCAGGGACCTCATGGATCACCTCTATCACAGTGGCCACGATTCACATTGCAGGTAACAATCCACCAACCTCTGGTTTTCCTTCTAGAGGGCTTTTTAAAAATAAACATAAAAAATTAGAGAACAATGTCTCTTTAAACATGCTTGGACAGGAGGGGCAAAAAACGAAATATGTGACTGCTTGGGGCCCCAGGCAGCTAAGGGGCCCCCAAAAAGATGTGTTTGTTTTTGTTTTTTTTTACAATTATTATATATAAATATGATAACAAAATACAGTTTTGTGATTCACTAATGCATCTCTTACATCAACACATTTTTACCATTTAGAAATCTTTGTATTGGGCCAGATTGATACTCAGACAAGGAAGGAGCTGTTTAAACATCCCTGAGATAAACTTAGATAAGACAGATTTATTTATCTTAGAAAACAAAGCTAAGTTTGATTTTATTATGTCTGTTTTTACAGTGTATTATTTATCAAAGCTTTTTCACTTGTTTGCTGTTCTTGCTCTATGGGTTATTTTTGCACATTGCTATTGCTGTTGGAATCAAAAAGTAATAAACAAATACCTTTACTGTGAATAAATTTCATACCAGTAAAAAAATAGGAGTCAGTAAACATCACTGCCAGGGCTGCAATGAGTTTACAGTAGGTGTTTGAATGATCTGATCATCAGACAGTTGCTTGCAGCAAGTGATATTATTGACAAAAATAGAAAGCCTAAAAATCCAATTTTGTTTGGGGCCCCATTGATGCTTTGGTCAGCTCTTTTTAGTAAACGTGTGTTTCAGTTCTTCAGCCCCATAGATTTTTGTACATTCTAAAATATTCCAAACACAAACATTATTTTTATTTACAGGGGTTTATGTGACAGACCTAACAAAATGTAGGGAATACCATGGCATGAGTTCCAAAGAAATAAAAAAAACAACAATACACTGGACTTTTTGCACTGTTTCCAAGTTTGAAAACGTTTCGCTTCCCATTTAAGAAGGTTTTTCAATTCAAAATGTCAGGAATAGCGTTGAGTTTGAGGCTTTATACAGTAGCCCTACAAGGCCTTGTTTTTCTAAATTAAAATGGACGAACAGGTCCACCCCTTTGGAATGGGGGTCATTTGGTATTGTTTTGTTAACCTGCAATGCCCCATACCTTCATTAGTATTCAGCCCCCCCTATTACCCACTTTATAACATATTTTTCTATATGTTCAATGCAGGGATCTTTCAATGTAAATGTTTGCTTTGACAGGATGATGGCATGTTTCTCTGTGTTGTGTGTTTCCATTCAGCCCCGATAGCCTCTGCTCTGAGTGCACGATTCAGTCATCGCTCTGTGGTCTTCATGGGTGGGCTCATATGCAGTGCAGCAGTTGGGTTGGGATCCTTAGCCCGTAACCTGACTGAACTCTACATCACTGTTGGTTTTCTAAATGGTGAGTGAATTAAGCAAATCTAACAGTAAGAAAAAAAAACAACAAAGAATGGGTTTTACTTTTAATCTGTTTGTTTGTGGCAGGTTTCGGCTATGCGTTAACCTGGACCCCAACAGTAACCATGCTGGGAATGTACTTTGAGAAGAGGCGTCCCATGGCAAACGCCTTGGCAAGTGCTGGAGAATGCATTCTTACCTTCAGCCTCACCCCTCTGTTCCAGCTGTTGATCGACAGTTTCTCTTGGCGGGGAGCTTTGCTAATCCTGGGGGGACTGCAACTCCACCTGTGTGTTTGTGGTATGCTGCTCAGGCCTCTGAGAACTTTAAGACACGCTCATAAGGTCAGAGAGGAGGAGGGAAGCCCCCTAAAGAAGGGCTTGGATGAAACCAAGCTTAACTTTCGAGTAGAAAGTGAACTTAACATAATGGAAATGTCTGATCAGGAAACTATCAATGTTGAAGTTCCTGATGAGACGTCTAGTTTGACCAAAAACTCTACAAGGAATCCAAAAAGCTGCAAACTAAGGACTGGAATTCAAAACTATGTGGATTACACGCTCATCACAAATGGCAGGTTCATGGTTTACTCCATGTTCGGGGTGTTTGCTGCACTGGGGTTCTTCGCTCCATCTCTGTTCCTGGTTCCATATGCCCGCAGTAAAGGCATCAAAGAATACCAGGCAGCTGCCCTCATGTCCATCTCTGCAGTGTTGGACCTCTTTGGACGAGTGTTCTTCGGTTGGGTGGCAAACCTGAGACTCATTAAGACGGTATGTTTGCCCTTATGGTACTACACTACACACACAGAAACAGAGTAAATCTGTCAGATGGTACTGATTTTCACAGTAGTGTATATATGTTTTTATATTATTTAATGTTTCTATTCTGTCTACTCTGACCAGGTCCAGCAGCTGACGGTGACAGTGATTCTGCTCGGTACCGTTTTACTCCTATGTCCTCTGGCGTCAACTTTCTCACAGCTGGTTGCTTTCAGTGCCGCTCACGGCCTGGTTTATGGCGCCACAGTCGCCATCCACATCACGGTGCTGCCTGAGATTGTAGGGGTGGAAAAACTTGGAAGTGCTCTGGGGTTTTTCATGCTCATACGCAGCAGCGGAGGCCTGCTTGGACCACCAATTGCTGGTAAGCTGTAATAGTTAACATGTCTGGGTGTTGTCTGCTGTTCTTTTCATATGACCGTTTGTCAACATATCAAATCCTGCACAGTGCATGTGCCTGTACATGGATACCGGTTCTGGATCACCGTAACTCCAACATATTTTACATGCTTAATTTTAAGTCCAGTTAATGGGAAAAGGGCATCATTACAGTCTTTCCATCCATCTACAACTAATAATTCAACTATTCACAGTTCAAGCATATTTATATGCAAATTTATCAGTTTTATATTTTTAAGTTATTCCTGTTTATATGTTTTGAGAGCTGCTTGTCTTTTCTACCATCAGAGACACAACTCTTAGTTGAATTAAAATAACTTTATCTAAATCTAAATGGATATAAATAATTTTGCCTCAGCTGTATCTTTGCATTTTTTTCAAAAACAGATGTTTTATATAATATCTCAATTATTCTGATAACTTAGGAAAGAAAAGGTTTTGAATGTCTGTGTGTGTTTTTGGGTGGTGGTGGGGGAACTCGATCCTTACACAGCTCTGATATGCAGTAGCAACTTTCAATTCATGATCTTGTCAAATATCCAGATCCAGATCCTAGTTTTAAATCATCAAAAGCTGCTATTCTAATTTCACGGCTGTTGGTTTTATAAAGATCCCTTCAAGCTGCTAAATGAATTTTCTTTCCAACTGACTTTTTTCTTCAGAGGCTCTTTTTATATTCTGCTTCATACAGTTTGCTGAAACAGCTAAGATCTTATGGTTTCAGACAACATCAGAGACAAAAAGGCAAATCCATTCCTTTATTTGAAAAAAAATTTTTTTTTTTTTTTTGAAAACTTGCAAAAATGTGAAGCAGAAACAATTGGATAATATGAAATGTGATGTAAAACAACATTAAGTTGTTTTGATGTTATAAAAAGGGAGCGTATATTGAAGCAAATATGTCTACAAAGCCTTGATGTTTAGACTAAATATAGTCTAAACATAATAGAGTCAATGATTTTAAATTTTACTTGTTTTAAATATATCAAGTGTATATTTTCAAGGAAAATAGTTTTTTTTATCAACTATATGTACACACACTTCTCCTTCCTATGAGTCCTGCCTAAAGGACTAGAAACTATTTGAACATTGTTAAAGAAGCACCCTGATGCACGATCCTAAAAAAACTAAAATAAACAAAATACCGGTAAGAAAAATAGTTAGAGCCTGTTTTAAACAGGCATTCCTGCAAACATACTTCTATCTCAGGTCCCATCCAGATTGGAGTACTCTAGCGTGGGAAATTACACAACTCTTACATTTTTCATTTGCATGGTTAATGTGATATGACGTATGGATTTCTGAGAAGGCTGAGCAAAAATCAGGGAATGACAGTAATTTGAGCTCCTGAAATGTGACTGTGGGACACACACTACAGGATTCACCAACTGGCAGAGGATCCATGTTTCCCTCTGCTAGTTAGAAACTGCTGCAGGGGTATGTGATCATTATGAGTCAGATCAGAAATACAGGAGATGATGACAACCTTTCAGCAGCACATTACACACTGGAGGAACATAATGATTTAAAATTGCACTTTGCAACAGGCACCTGCTCTGTAATCATAGGTTCCAAAATGATCAGTTTAGTACAGTGGATATAAGATAAACTTATTTCATAGGATGATTTAAATTTTTTTTTTTTTTTATGCATCTTTATTTTAAGATTTATTATCATAGTTTTACATTTTAGGTTTCTCTGCATGGTTGGAGATTTTTTTCATTTGGGTTAAAACTAATCTGATCATAAAGGCTAGAACCTATTTTTCAACTTTGCCTGACACAGAAGTTATTTCTAACTTATTCACTAATATTTTACAGGACTTCTTTTACTTTAAAGGCATGCTATCAAACCAGTTTAAAACTTTTATGAAGCTGATGTTGCCTGATTTTCATTCCTCTTAATCATTGAATGGTCTCTTCCTGCTTATTTGTAATAATATGCAGTGGGTATATATAGCTTTATTTTGGACAGTCAGGGTGCATTGAAGGTTTACATTAAAAATACAGTAAATTCTTGTTAATTACTTCATACAATAAAGTCTTTATAATCAAACTTTCCCACTTTCTCTTTAGGTTTCTTCATTGACAAGATGGATAATTATGGCACAGGCTTCCTGATGTCTGGAGTGGCTCTCATTGTCTCTGCGCTGTTCCTTCTAATTCTCCATCAGATGAGCAGACGGGATCAGGGAACAGTCACAGCTACAAACAATGATCAGAAATAGAAAAGACTGAGTCAAAGTGTCCCTGCAGAAGGAAAATAGCCAGCTATGATAAAAACACTGTCTGTGGTTCATACTGTGTGTTCAGATCCAACCTGAATCCAAGTATCATCCAGTGTAAGGGTACGAGAGGTTAGAGCTTAGTGAATTAGGTCATGTAAAACATAATCTGCAGGATCATCTCTGTATTATCAGTTTTGAAATATGAATCGGGAGAATGCATTACAGTGTTGTTATAATAAAATAATCAACCAAACACAAACCTTACTTTTCTGTAAAAGGATTAAAAGAATGGTTTCTTAAAGTAAATTCTAATTTCATCCTTGTTTCTCTGTCAGTAGTTTTGTAAACAAACCTCCTTGCTTGTCTTGTAGAACTGAACTTACCTGAAGCTGTTTTATGAAGAAGAGTCATTGTTTGTTTATTGCTCATTTTATTAAAATGATACCATTTTTCTAAATGTGGTATTTTCTTTGTGGCTTCATGTCTAGTACAAAGTATAAACGGTGGCTTACTTAAGTCTAAAACTTGTATCTGGCTCCATCTAGTGTAAGCCTGCTGGTATTGCAGCATTTATGAATACAACATTGGAATTACTCAATTAACCATGTTAGCCGTGAGTCAGAATATTTTTAAGGCATTATATAGAGCCAATTCAAATCAGATACAGTGGTTAAAAGTTTTGTGCCAAAGAAAACTGAGCTTTAGGCATCCCAAGTCTCCCGGAAGTTCCGGGATCCTCCCTGATATAGATAGTTACGGATGCCCGCGAGTCGGATAAATTATCCCGGATTATAGACTATGTGAGGTGGTGTATTTTTAATGCGAGTGAGAGAGGGCAGGTAATACAATAATTCATGCATCATGTGCGGATTAGAAAGAATGCGATTGCGCAGACACAACAAGAGAGAGCGGGTGTGAGGAGGAGGTTACTGTGAAATCTGTGCAGCGTATCTGTGCAAAGCGATGCTCTGATCAACCAGCGCTCCAGGCGACTGGTTGTCAGAGAGCTGATTGGATTAGTCGGAAAAATAAGCCAATAAGTTTCAGTTTACTCTTTACAGTCACCTCATTTTACAGTAGGATATACTAAAGTTTATCCAAGTCCATGATGGAGTGTGCATGTATGGGGCATGGTGTGGCCAGGGGCGTCAGCTGACCCAATACTATACAGAGGTACAATGGGGCACCTCATAAAATGTGAGCGCAAAGCATGCGAGCAAAAAAAATTTCGGGCAATTATTTATTTTAAAACCCCAGTCGGCCAGAGCAGAAGGCCGCTCACACTGAGCCTGGTTCTGCTGGAGGTTTCTTCCTGTTGGGCACAGCGGAAGCGTACTGGGCCCATAACCCAGAGGTGAGTGCTCTGAAACCACCCTCTGCTATAAACTGGCATTTACTGTCAATCTCTTATGCCAGGTTTGGGCCTTTCTCATTACATATGTCTCGACTGCAATGTCCTACCATCGCCAATACTCCTAATCAACTTTTCAAACTACTTGTAATGTAAGAGGAGAAAATGCGATGTTTTAAAGAGATCAGTACTGGAATGCGTTAAAATTCTGCTTTTAAAGAAATCCCTCTCCTGTAACTCCCAGTCTTTTAGAAATTTTACAGAACTTTCAAAAATGTACTGTTCAGAACGATGCCAGAAGCCAGATTTTGTTGGTTCAAATAACCGTTGGGGTGGATGCAAGTAGAGTGGTGCTGTCAGTTTCAGGCTAATAACACCTGTTTAGATCTGATGTAAACAAGCATCTTTCAATGAACCAGGCAAAAAAATCACAGTAATGACAACTTATCGTTACGGGTTCCAAACTCCATGTGAATTGAGCTGTGCAGAAAGGACCTTCCCAAAAAGTTTAAAAGTGTGGAACTTATCCCTTCACTAGTTTTGAACCATGAAGCCCCTTCAAGAGAAGGTAAAGGTTTTCAAACGGCAAAACTCGATTGCAGTAGATCATTTTAGGTGTTTTTGGAGTCAGCAAGTCCTGCATGCCACTTGCATCAATCGCCAATGAGGGGATTTTTGAACTTTGAATCCCCTTCAAGAGAAGGTAAAGGTTTTCAAACGGCAAAACTCGATTGCAGTAGATCATTTTAGATGTTTTTGGAGTCTGCAAGTCCTGCATGTCACTTGCATCAATCACGAATGAGGGGATTTTTG